CCAGAAGACACGTCCTCGTGCCGAAGAAACAACAGAAGGAGGGACGGGTGGGAACTTGGGAGAAGGACGGACAGCAGACAGAATCCAGGGAGGTGACGATGGAGGAAGGAGCCAAGGAGGAAACAGGAGGAGCCAGGGCAGATCAGACGGAGGGAGTAGCCAGGGAGAAGACAGGAGGGACTTAGAGCATGCGGCACCAGGTGGGAACCAGGCCACAGCCATAATGGCAACCCACAGTGGAGCAGACGGAGGAAGGAGCCATGGAGGAGGAAGGGCTGACGACTCCAGGGGGCCGACCAACGGTGGCGGAGGAGCCCGAGGTAGAGACGGAGAGCCGATGAGCCAGGGTGACGTGGAGGATCCGGAGGGCCGAGGTGGAACTGATGGCTCCGGTGACCGATGCAAAGGTGGGGATCCGGAAGGCCGCAGTGGAGCCGGAGCGACAGAGGACCAAGGTGGAGCCGATGGGAAGGAGGAGCCTGATGGAGCCGGAGGGATGGAGGGAGCCCGGCGGAGGCAGTGGACTGACAGACCACGGCGGAGAGGAGGGAGCTATGAGCCATGGTGGAGCTGCCGGGTTGACGGGCCGAGGCGGACTCTGGGACTCAGAGGCTGGTGGCGGAGACAAGGGATTCTCCAGCCATGGTGATGATGGAGGATGGCAGACCCGCGGAACTCGCACCGCACTGATGGTGGGCTGAGGGCAAGCAGAGGGGCTGCCAGACGACAGCGTTCGGTTGGGTGGGCATTTGTAAGCCTCCGGGCTGGACTTGGGAACAGGAGCCCTCTCTGGGCTTAGCTTGGGAACAGAGTCTCTCTCAGGGCTGGACTTGGAAACAGGAGTGACAGAGGGCTTTGACAAAGGAAGGAGGGGAGGGGGCAGGTCAGTCCACAAGACTATAAGGTCTCCCACCACTTTCCATTCACCCAGATCCATAAATCGCTCACCCTCAGCCATGGTGCAGTGGGCGGAGCTCCTCTCCGCGATCTCACTGGCCACGGCTTTCTTCCTCGTGGCGGGCGTGGTAGCCGGCTCTCGCACCTGGTCTGACGTTACAAACAGCTCCGGCTCCGCGGCGATCCTTAGCTCTGTCGCCCCTTGCGGCGATGGCTCGTCGGTCACAACGGGCTCGGGCTCTCCGTCAACGGTGGGCTCAGGCTTGCGCTCCGCACAGTGGGGAGATGGTGGGCTGGGCACTGGGTCTGGCTGTGTTCTGGATCAGAGGTACACTCTCCAGACACAATATGATTGCTTCCCTCCAGCACAGTACGGTGGTGTCTGGGAGGTCGGTTAGGAAATTCCGAGATGATCTGACCACTTTCAAACTCCGCAAATTTAGACGTGATACAATGGATTATAAGGACAACAAGATTTACAGATGGATATCTGGAAACCTGGGAAAACATAATGCAATTGGGATGAACTCTCAGACTCCAGTGAATCCAACCTTTCTTCTTCTACAACATCTTCTACCACTATGAGGCCTTTTTTGGCAACTCCACATCACTCCCAAAGAACACGCACCAGAAGAGGCATCCAATTAGAAGAGGTTCGAGGGGAAAAAAGACATGTGATGTAAACCCTACAGAAAACAAATACAGAGAAGATGTTCTTTGTCAGATACATTTAATATTGTATCAACATGTCCAAATTCTCAGTAAAGGTTTATCTTTTGTTCCAACTCCAAGAACTGATCCTTTCTTGGTTAAGATTGAACTGTTTAAATTAATGAGAAATGTGAAATTGAAAAGTTCCTTTGTTGTAACAGTACTGGTATAACAGTCACTAATCAATTTAAGCCTAAAAGTACTTTTACACGCCATATCTCCAATCCCTCTCCGAACACATTTTGCTGACTGGTAGAAAATGATATAGATAAAATGTTGATGGAAAAACCTAAGTTTGAGTTGAAGAATCTAAAAGTTCAAAAAGCAGCTTTAGATGATTTAAAAAAATTATAGAATTATAATCCAAAAAGCAGATAAAGGAGGAGCTATAGTTATACAAAATACAGATAAATATATCTCTAAAGTAAAAACAATGCTTAGTGATTCTTCATGTTATAAAAAACAAATATTTAACCCTACCATCGAATATAGATAGATAGGATGTTAAAGAGAGGTGTTGAAGATAAATGGATAACAGAACAAGAATCAATTTTGCTGACTGGTAGAAAATGATATAGATAAAATGTTGATGGAAAAACCTAAGTTTGAGTTGAAGAATCTAAAAGTTCAAAAAGCAGCTTTAGATGATTTAAAAAAATTATAGAATTATAATCCAAAAAGCAGATAAAGGAGGAGCTATAGTTATACAAAATACAGATAAATATATCTCTAAAGTAAAAACAATGCTTAGTGATTCTTCATGTTATAAAAAACTAATATTTAACCCTACCATCGAATATAAATCCCAGATAGATAGGATGTTAAAGAGAGGTGTTGAAGATAAATGGATAACAGAACAAGAATCCAAATGGTTAACAAAGCATCATCCAGTTGTCCCAGTGCTTTATGCTTTACCTAAAATACATAAATCTATTGTAGATCCTCCTTATCGACCTATACAGGTGCATCTCAATAAATTAGAATGTCGTGGAAAAGTTCATTTATTTCAGTAATTCAACTCAAATTGTGAAACTCGTGTATTAAATAAATTCAATGCACACAGACTGAAGTAGTTTAAGTCTTTGGTTCTTTTAATTGTGATGATTTTGGCTCACATTTAACAAAAACCCACCAATTCACTATCTCAACAAATTAGAATACTTCATAAGACCAATAAAAAATTTTTTTTAGTGAATTGTTGGCCTTCTGGAAAGTATGTTTATTTACTGTACATGTACTCAATACTTGGTAGGGGCTCCTTTTGCTTTAATTACTGCCTCAATGCGGCGTGGCATGGAGGTGATCAGTTTGTGGCACTGCTGAGGTGGTATGGAAGCCCAGGTTTCTTTGACAGTGGCCTTCAGCTCATCTGCATTTTTTGGTCTCTTGTTTCTCATTTTCCTCTTGACAATACCCCATAGATTCTCTATGGAGTTCAGGTCTGGTGAGTTTGCTGGCCAGTCAAGCACACCAACACCATGGTCATTTAACCAACTTTTGGTGCTTTTGGCAGTGTGGGCAGGTGCCAAATCCTGCTGGAAAATGAAATCAGCATCTTCAAAAAGCTGGTCAGCAGAAGGAAGCATGAAGTAAACGGGCACAATTTATTTAATACACGAGTTTCACAATTTGAGTTGAATTACTGAAATAAATGAACTTTTCCACGACATTCTAATTTATTGAGATGCACCTGTAGTATCTGGCATTGGCTCCCTCACTGAAAAATGTCTATATTTATAGATTGTTGTTTACAATCATTAAGTGAAACAATTGCCTTCTTATTTGAGAGATACAACAGATTTTTTAACTAAACTACAAACTTATTCCAATTTAGATGACCAAGATTGGTTAGTAACATTAGATGTAACATCTTTGTACATTTCAATTCCACACAAAGAAGGTTTAGAATCTTTAGATTATTTTCTCAAAACCCTACAGAATCCAAGATCACATTCACAGTTTATCTTGGATTTGACCAAATTCATTTTAACCAACAATTATTTTTTGTTTAACAGAGTATTACCCCCAGACACAAGTACCGCTATGGACACACCTCTAGCACCAAGTTATGCTAACCTGTTCATGGGTACATTTGAATTGAATTTTATTTTATTTACAATAATAATCCTTTTGGAAGTTTCATTAAGCACTAGGCAAGATACATTGATGATTGTTTTCTCATGTGGAAAGGAAGTGAAGAGGATTTGTTTGAATTTGTACAGTTTTTGAATTCAAGATTAGGTTCTATTACATTTTCAGTTGAAAATTTATCATCAATTCATGTTTTTAGATGTGTTTATATCAAAAATAAACAACAAGATCTCCACCATGGTGTTCTGTAAACCAACAGACAAAAATACATTATTGTCTGCTGATAGTCATCACCCACTGCCTCTGAAAAAAGGGTTACCATTAAGTCAACTCTATAGACTTTGACTATTTCTCAAATTCCTCTTCTGAATCACAAATACGTCTATAATTTTGAATAATCGTTTTTGTTCAAGAGGTTATCCACCAGTGTTGGGGAAAGTTACTTTTAAAAGTAATGCATTACAATATTGCGTTACTCCAAACTAATAACTAATTAAGTTACTTGGTTACTTTTTATGGAAAGTAATGCGTTACGTTACTTTTGCATTACTTTTCAAATCTGGACAGGGCTTGCTTGTTTGTTTTTAAAATAAAAAAGTTATATTTTTGGCAAATAAAAAAAAAAGCCTTTTCATCTCTTCAAAGTGAAATGAATAGGCCTCAGGCTGAAGGGAAAGTAAATTATGTCCGTACAGTAGAATGCAGAAGAAGAAATTTCAACACACTTCAGCAATAGAAAAAGACACAAATGTTTGTCTAGAGTAATTTTGATTATTAGTATGGTTGAACTGGATCATTGAAGGTCAGAAGCAAAGACATTGGTTAATAGAATGGGATTAAATACATAAAGGATATTTGTGTTGTTTAACATTTAATTATTGCAGGTTTGCGTGTTATTCTGAGTTGCATTATTTTTATTCATTTT